GAAACTAGGAAACTGACTTGCATTAGTATAATGAGAAAGCCTCTAAAAGTACTGTCTCTGAAAATAGAGGAATTTGTATGATAAAGGGAAATTGTAATTTTTGTCCTATGGGGCAAAAATTACTAACATTCTCCCAAAATGTTATCCATCTAGGTATAAGAATTTTAACATTCAGACTCATCACCTACCCTTTTGCTTGAAGAGTTGAAGATTTTAAGTTGGTCAGAGCAAAGTTATTATGGAACATCACTTCATTTATACATTGATTCAGCCAACATTTACAGAGACCCACACCATGAGTCTGGCAGTGGGCTTGCATGAACCCTGCTTTAAGATAACTCATACTTGGATAAGAGGGAGAATACATGAGCATAAATAGTCCCAATTATTAACAGTGTCTATAGTGTGTCATTCGTAGTTACCATTGTAGTTACGCTAGAAGGGACTGCTATGATTGTAGCAGAGAAAAATTCTCCCCAGTGTGTTTTGTTTTTAGGTTATTTTCTTTGATAATTACTATTTGCTGACACAATTGTTTGCATGTGCTCAGTTCAAGTTCTAGTTGAATAGAGTGGTTGTTAATTTTGTTTTTACCACTCTAAACTGGGAATATGTAGCTATAGTTAACATTATTAGGCAACTAGCCTGAGTGAATCATCATTACAATTTTGTTTTCTAAAATGCAGTACAGTATGGATTCCATTACCTCAACTGGAAATGATGTTCATGGCTTTGGCATTTGGGAGGGCACAAGAAGGAACAGGGGAGAAAATATATGTAGTTTGTTTTTAAAGTGAAAATACAGAAATGAACAGAGATTAATATAACACACACTAATATACCTAAGATCAGAATGAACAAATTGTTCACATTATGCCTTATATTTTTCAGATTTTTTTAAATAAAGAGGTCAAATTATTATTGATAAAGTTAAAATTTCTTAGAATGTCCCTCTCTCCATTCCAGAGTGTTTCCTCTCTCAGGAGTGAAACTAAATTGACTTCAGTATGTGTCCCTCCAGTATGATATATGTATCATGTATGATATTGTTTTGAAGGTTTCTAAAATTCATATAAGTGGTCTTTTTAAAAAAAAATTTATTTATTTATCTGATAGAGATCACAAGTAGGCAGAGAGGCAGGCAGAGAGAGAGAGAGGAGGAAGCAAGCTCCCTGCTGAGCAGAGAGCCCCATGTGGGGTTCTATGTGGGACATGATCCCAGGACGCGGGGATCATGACCTGAGCTGAAGGCAGAGGTTTTAAACCACCGAGCCACCCAGACGCCCCACATATAAATGGTCTTGAACTGTATTTATCTCTTTGCGTCTTATTTTTTCACTCAGTTTTGTGTTTTTGAAATCCACCTCTGTTAATGCAAATTTATCAAGCTCAGAAACATATAGCCTGGTGTGGGGGAGTCTTCTGCAGGAGCACAGAGTCCAGACTGTAGAGCCAACTTTGCCTGGGTTTGATCTGCTCTGCCTTACCAGGGGTGTGACTCCGGACATTTCTTCACTTCCTGCCCCCCCCCCAACCCCAGAGCTTTCAGTGTCCTCCTGTGTAAACTGGTACTCACACGTACCTTACAGAGATGTGGTGAGGAGTAAAATGAATTAATATTAATATATATGAAGCTTCTAGAATAATCAGACATTGAGTGCCATATAAATATTTTATTATCTAGTATGTTTATTTGGGAATGTGTATTGGTTCATAGCATGAAGAGCAGTCTTGCTTGGTTAGTATTCCTTGATTGTTTACATCTAGCACCATGCTAACTGGGAAAAAACCTGTGTCCAGTGTTGGCTTCCTGTCAGAGGGAATTAGGCATTGAGTGGGGCTGGATGGGAAGAACTACAGTTCTTCACCTAAGCGAGAAGTTAGTCAGTAAGATGTGATGGTCTCCTGGCTGCCGCTGCTGCACAGTGGGCTGTCATCAAAGGGTGGTGTGGCGTGTGCTGAAGAATTGCCTTATCCCCTGGGGGGCTGGTTTTCTGGCATCAGTGGGGCTGCAGGGACAGCTGCCGAGTGGTGTGAAGTCCAGTTCCATTTCCCCTTGGTGGTAGGCTACACCCTCCCTTCCCCTCTCTCCAGAATTGCACATCGGGGCACTTAGTCACCTCACCGTTTCAATTGAGAGGGAGTGGCTCCTGGTTGAGCTGGACGTTAGAATGAGCCTGTGACGCTGAAGCGCATCCCTCTGGAGGTTTCAGACGAAAAACAAGTGAGAGACTAGATGCAGTGGAGATTGTCCAGTGACCTCAGATCTGTGTCAGTGCTGCGTCCCCTGCCCCCTGGGCCTCCTTCGCTCCTTCCTCCCGGCTGAAGAGAGCTGGCTTTCTCAGAACGATGGAAAGGCATTTCTAAAGCAGACACTAAAACGGAAATGAGCCTTTGTTTGGATTGCTCTCCCCACCTCACGAAGCTTTTTGGCATGGCCAGACTCCGTGTCTCTAATGAACCTTGCTGTCATTCTCACAACCCAGATGTGAGGAAACGAACATCACTCCTGTGTTGTAATCTTCTAACGAGGAGGGACCAATTATTATATTGTGCATGGGGCATAAGTGATTCCAAATGTAGGATCGGGATATCTGGGTCCTAGCAACAGCTGTAGGAACTGGATACACAGGTTTTTGTTTGGCTGATGAGGAAACAGGCCCAGCAGACTTGAGGTGGTTGTTCAGAGCCCCATGTCTGTGTAGAGTAGCTGGATCTTTGGATGCTCTACTCATAGTATGCTTGGGATTTAGATGCCAATTTGGAGTCTGTTTCTTTCATTCACTCATTTCTTGACCTTAGGCAAGTTTTTTTAACCTCTGTGAGCCTCAAAATCCTCATCTGTAAGATGGGTATAATCATTCTTGCCTCCATCAAAGCAACATTTGAAGATCAGATGAAATGGGGTGAACGCAAACTGGAAAAATCTAAAAGGCACAATACAGCTCTAACTTATTTATTATTACTATGGTTATTATGTTGGACACATTTATGACACAAGGCTATGTTGCAGATAAAATAAAGCTCCATTTTACATTGTCTTGGGGAGACAGAAGAAACTTGGCCGAAACCAGTTATATCAACATGAAATGTATAGCTTCTTTGGAATAAGGGTCATACCTTCCAACAGCTATCTCATCCTGTTACACACCAAGTTTTGTGGTGTACCCTAGTATAATGCTGCTCAAAGAGGGTGCTCTTCCCAACCCTGGTATCGAGCCCTTTCCTTCTGCGCTGTGAAGTGGGACAACATGATAAAGGTTAGGGCATTTTGTTGATTTAAGCTTACTTTACATTCTCTTTGCTAATGATTAATAACTAGAATCTTGCACGGCCTATAGAAATGTTCTCCAACAGGCAGGTGAAGTTCTGTTATTGAAGGCTTACATCGCTTAGTTCTCAGTCAATGGGGAACAAATCTAAACTGTATTAGAGTTTAATTTCTGGGATCTGCAGGCACTTTTGTCTCTGAGGCATAGAGAACAAATGAGCTACTTTTAGGTGTATTAATCACGTTAATGAACAGCAGCTTCTAATAAAAACAACTTAGCACAAGCAGAAGGAGATAGTAAAAACTCACGTGAGCACTGGCAACCAGACGTATTTTAGCACAAGTGGGTTCCTAGTATGCGTTTGGCAGGGGCAAATAGAGATACAGCAACTCCGGCCCTAAGGAGTTCACAGTATGGCAAGGGAAAAAAGACTTAAGAGAAAAAAGATATGAAGAAGACATCTTTAAGGGTAGGTGCTAGTCTAAAGGTAGGAACAATTTATCTTGAATGCAGAGAGAGATGAGAGCAGCGCCCTCTGCTCAGTGATGTGTGTGTGTGTGTGTATGTGCCTGCATATGTGAGTGAGTGTGTGTGTGTGTAGTCAGAGAGGCTTATCTGGGAAGGCTTCAGGGGAATATGCTACCCAAGTTGCATTTTAAAGAATAAATAGGCATCCACATCGCATAGGAAATGATGAGGAAGGGCATTCTGGGTAAAGGGGAAAATATGCACTGAGGCGTGGGGCCAAGGAAGAGCATGTGTTTCAGGCTAAATTTGCTCATTCTTTCCTTCATTCTTTCGGTCGTTTATGGATGGTCTCCTCTTCACCAGGTACTGTTCTAACTGCTGGGGATTCGGTGGTGAGCAAAACAATGTCTATTTTAAGAGCTTACTTTCTAGTGCAGAAGTAAACTAATAAATAAATAAACAACTGGCGTGCATTTAATATAATGTCGGATGGTGGGAAGCGCTATAACGAGAAATAAATGTATTAAGGGGATCGAGAGTGAAAGGAAGGTCTCGTTAGATACAGCTGCTGTCTTCTCTGAGGGAATGGCTTTTTGAGGGAGCAAGCCTGCAAGTACTGAAGGAGAATGCGCTCTCGCTGGAAGAACAGCAGGGGCAAAGGTCCTGAAGCAGGAGTAGCCTGGACATGGTCAGAGTGAGGTGAATGGTAGGAAAGGAGATTGTTCCTGGCCTTGTGGTCTGTGACAAATATTTTGGAATTTATTTTGAGGATTATGGGAAGTCGTGAAAGAGTTTTGAGCAGGGGTGTGATAAGCCATTTACATTTTAAATAGATCACTCTGGCTGCAGTATGAAAATAGACTGTATCAGGGAGACTATTTAGGAGGCTATTACAGTATTTCTGGTGAGACGCTTGGAATAGAGTCATAATGTGTTAGGTGGTAAGACTTGGTCTGATTTGGGATATATTTTGAGGTAGAGCTGACAGGATTTGCTAATTGATTGAGAGAAGAAGAGAAGTTCAAGGTGGCTCAAGTAATTTTGCCTGAGCAGTGAGGCAAAGAGAGAGATCTTTGACTGAGATGGGCAGTGAAGGAGGACAGAACTGCTTTGAAGGATAAACTCAAGTGGTCTGTTTTCCTTCAATAGGACCTAGAATTAGAGGAGAGGCATTGGGTGGAAAGAAGAAAGCCTGGAATTTAGGGGAGTCCATGGCCAGAGATAGGAAATGGGAGCCATCAGCATGTGGGTGGTATTCAGAACCCCAAGGCTGTATTCAGTTACATAAGGGGTGAGTGTTGATATGAAAAAGAATAGATTGAAGGACTAACCCTGAGGTTCTCCTACATTTAGCCGTTAGAAGTCAAAGTTACCAAAGAGAATCCAAAAGAGAAGCTTGAGGAGTGGAGACAATTCAAAGAGTGTGACAGCAGGAGTTAAGTGAAGAAAGAAGGACCAGCCGGGTCACATGCTGGTGAGAGATCTGTAGTTAGCAGACTGAGAATGGATCCTCAGACTGGGAAATGTGGGGGGACATCGCTCACCTGGGCAAACAGTTTCAATGGAAACATGGCTGTGAAAGTCTGATTAGAATGGGCTCAAGAGACCAGAAGTAGAGATCATAGAGATAATGATTATCAAAAAATCTTTGCAGGAGTTTTGCAGTAAAGTTATATAGGCAAATGAAGGGAATGTGAGATCACGGAACACCATTTTTATGAGAAATATTATGGCCCATGCTGATGAGAAGGATTGACTAGAAAAAGGAAGGCTGTTGCTGCAGGAGAGATGGGGATAATGCAAGAGGAAGTGGCTTCCCCTTGTTAACAAACTCCAGGCTTGGGCCAGCTACATCCTAGTCACACTAGACTCCTTTAAAAACAACAGTAACGACAACAGCAGTGACCACAGAAAGATTGTTTTGCGCTAGACTGCCTAGGTGCCAGAAAGGTCCCATGTGCTTATATTTTTAAAAAGCTTGATTGTGGTTTAGACCTAGATTTGGGAACTTTTGTTTTAGGTGACACCGTGTATTTACAGTGGTGTCAGGAGTCCATTGACTTGGAGCGGCAGAAGATGGGGCTGTAAATGTTGACATTTAAAAAAAAATATATATATTTATTTGAGAGAGAGAGAAAGAGAGCATACATGAGCAGGGGGAGGTGTAGAAGGAGAGGGAGGAGCCCCAAACAGAGTCCCCACTGAGGGCAGAACCTGATGCGAGGCTCAGTCCGAGGACCCTGAGATCATGACCTGAACCAAAATCAAGAGTCAGCTGCTTAACCACCCGAGCCCCTGAATTTGACTTTTTATAAATCTTTAATTTCTTAGCTTTGGCTTTTCTCGTTTTGGGATTTCTTCTCCTAAGAATGCCATTAGCATTAGTGAGTGGAAGCTGCTAGTGGTTTTTGGAGACTATATGGTTTTCCTACAGGGCTGTGAATGGAAGTGCCTGGTTCTCACACTTTGTGATTAAAAACACTTTGAGTAAGATTTTAAGCAAATAGTTAAACTTACTGAAAATGTGATGGCCATTTTCTTTCCTCTCTTGTAGGAATACATAGCAATAGCCATGCGACTGCCAAATCTAGCACAAGCATGTTCAAGAAATTGGGTCAAAGTGGACCATTAAAATTTACACCTAATATATTGAGTCTTAGCACCCAGTTAGGTGTGCAGACACTTGATTATTTTAAGTGAATAATACTGTGAAGGGAGATTGGACCTGAAACCCAAAGTCTCTGTAACTTATAAATTATGTGAGTTTTGGCCAGTTTTGTATATGTATATGAAAAAAAGCATGCTTATCTTTCCCTGCCTCTGTCATAGAGTTATGAAGATCAAATGAGTGGAAAATATTTCATGATTGTGGAAGTCTTATAGTACACACACACACACACACACACACATATAGTTTTTATGTGAGTTGTGAGAAGCAGCTTTTATAAGCATAGTTTAACACTACATGACACAAATATCTTGGAAAAGTGACTATTCACACTTCACAACCATTTGTGATGCAAAGTGAGGCTGCTTAAAACGTGTATGTATGCGTCTGCTTTGTTCGGTATTGTTTTTATTAGATTTCCTCAGAGATTAGGATAATTTTTGGATTATGATTATGCAAGAGGGAATAGAATGATACTGCAGGTTGTACCATTGTAACCCATGCTGGTCACACACCGCTTGGAGGTGAAAAGGGAGAGATCCTATCTGGTCTTGGAAAGCATGGTTCCGAAGGGATGATATTATGTTAGAGTACATCTAGTAGATGATGGCCAAGATATGAATTGGACTTGAAATCATGACTTATAAGGAGCAGATGAAAGCCATAGCGATGTTTAGCCTGGAGAGAGACCAGAAGATTGAAGTAGAATTTAGTATTCCAGGGGTTTCAAGAAAGTAGAAGCAGGTTTGATGGACTATGTTTGAAAGGGAGCTCTGGGCTGAGCAGGAAGTGACTACAACTGTGGCGAACACACAAGGAGAGCTTTGGCAGCTTATGACTCTCCAGTTGCTGTTATTGTACAAGCAGATGCGGTGTGACTGCTGAGGTATTGCAGAGGGATTTAAACATCTGATACGAAGCAGAAAGAGATGACCTGTAGAGTCTTTTCTAGCTCTAATGCTCTGTGTCAAATCTGAGACTCTCTACGAGGAGGAGCTAATGAATTTTCTGAGCTCTACTGGAGATTGGGGGAAGGTTACAGAGAAGTCAGAGATGGCAAATGGTGGGTTATGCTAAGCAATAGAAAGATTTCGGGTTGAGTTCAGAAGGCGCCTAGGAATACAAAACTTGTCCTTAAAATTCCCAAGTCTTTAGGTAAATCCTGGGTGCATGCTGTCTGGTCATTTCTTTTCTAATCCAGGAAGTCAGAGCAGTGACACTGGTGTGTAGCTTGATCTCTTCTAAATGACAAAGGAAAATGTCAGCCCTTGAGGCCTCTTCATATCCTCCTTCAGGGGTAAAATTCACTGTAAAATAATAAGGCCCTTGAACACATGGGTCTGAGTATGTGGATGCACTGAGTGGAAGAAGCAGCAGCTTAGTCTACGGGTTACTTAGGCAATAAGTCCATTTGACATACTGAACAGCTCACTGTGCCCCTAATGCACAGTTAATGTCTTCCACATTGACTCATGGGTTGGTGTTGCTGAAAGGAACCTTAGAGACCGTTTAGTCCTTCTACAGAGAGCAAGCTGGGGTTCAAGAGGGAGTGGGCTGACGGGCACATAACTCTCTGATCCTGAGGGCTTAGACTCATGCTACCCATAGTCTGAGGTGTGTTTATACCATTCACACTTCCGTGGTAATGCCCATCGCCACATGTTGAGATGATTATTTTTCAATTTTACGGGAAATAATTTCATCTTACAGCATCACTTCTTATCTCTACCATTCTGTATGTGAATTAGAGTAATCTTTTGGAATTAGCTCAGAGGAACGTCTCCTTAAGGAGATAATGATACAGAAGGAGCAAATATCACCTAATCCAGTAGCCTGAAATCTGGACAGTTATACACATCCTGTGTAATGTTGCTACATCTGTGTGTTCCTGTTATTTATTTTTCTGTGAGTCAACACACTTAAGAAAAAGTTAATTAAAAAATTTAAAAAGTCAGTTTAGTCTTGTAGCAATTATATCTGCAAAATTACAAGTTTAATATGGTGGGTTTTTTCCAATATAAAAATAGTTATTTTAAAATAACCATAATATTTAAAAAAAAGATTCTACTTATTTATTAGAGAGGGAGAGAGCGCGTGCGTGCATGAGTGTGTGGGTGGGGAGGGTACTGGGCGGGGGAAGGGCAGGGGACAAGCAGACTCCCCGTTGAGCAGGGAGCCTGACCCTGGGACTCTGAAATCATGACCTAAGTCAATGTCAGACACTTAACCAATTGAGCCATGCTGGCTCCCCAACCATAATTTTTTAAAGGTTTTATCTGGTTGTCACTTAAAATCATTTTGCATACCATGCTTTGGTAGATACTGAAAAGGTGAGACTATTTTAACAAACTTTCTGCTCATGTAATAGATGATGGCTCATCTTCCTCTGTATCCTCCCCATCCCACTATGGATATTTCAGTAATTTAAGAGAAAAAACACCAAATCCTACCCTTGTTCACACACACACACTCACACTCACACACTTTTTTTCTTTTCTCTCCATCAGAGTGGAGGGATTACAGAGGAAATAAATAAATAATTCATTAGAAGTGCATGAATCAGGTTACATCCATACGTGAACTAATGCTGAGGCTCTCCCTCTAGACTAGAGGGTGATTAAGGAAGTGTGTGAAATGAGTATTTCCTTCCTCCTGAAATTTTGATCAGTTGCTTACAGATTCTCATTAGAGATAGAAGGTCTAGGTAAAGGCTGCTTGCACAGTTTTTCTCCCTGTAGTGACACCAAATGGTCCACTGAAGCATAAACACAGCAATGTAAATTCAGTTTTGGGAATTTGTGTTTGTGATTGGAATGCTTTTATTTTTTTCCTTAAAGATTTTATTTATTTATTTGACAGAGAGAGAGAGAGATCACAAGTAGGTGGAGAGGTAGGCAGAGAGAGAGCAGGAAGCAGGCTCCCTGCTGAGCAGAGAGCCTGAGGCAGGGCTGGATCTCAGAACCCTGGGATCATGACCTGAGCCAAAGGCAGAGGCTTTAACTTGCTGAGCCACCCAGGCACCCAGGTAGGAATGCTTTTATATGATGGCTGACACTTCCATTTGGTTTCAGATGATGCTTGGGACAATCTGTCTCATGGATCTACTTTCTGTGACTGAGCTCGGTTTGCTAGTTGGAGATGCCCAGTGAAGAAGACAAAAAAACTTGATCTCATCTGAGCCAGAATTTTTAATTCTAATAAACTGATGGTTTTCCTGAGTGGAGATTTTTAAACAAGTGTGCATGGCTAGTGTCCCCCAGCCCTAAGGAGATTTTCATGTCACTCTAACATGGTATAATTGTAATTTTCCAGGCATGCCTTGTTTATGATGTGAAAAAGAATGGCAAAAACTAGGCAATAAAGAACAAAACCTCTAGTACGTATGGTACTTTGGAACTTAGGAAACACTCGTGTGCATCAGCCGTCTTGAGACACATAACATTTCCATGAAGTAAATGTTATTTTCCCCGTACTTCAGGGGAGGAAACTACAGATCTGACAGGTGCAGTTATCTTCATAAATTTCTACAGTTTAAATGTATAGCAAGTAAAGACTTAGAAGTCATTATATTTTTAATCCAATGAATCTTCTGTTCTATCGCTGC